TATATATATATATATATACTATAAATTACTCATGGAAGGGAAAAATTCTCTCTCGGAGTAATCCATTTTCTTTCGCGAACGGAAAAATTCCGTGTGCACGATCGAAAGCAAAAAAAAAGGAAATAAAAAAAACGCTACGTGTGTTAGATCGTACAAAACATCTTTTATTTCCTTTTTATTTTTCTTGTCGTCAACACGCATGTATCTTATATTCTTTCTCATTCTTCTTTTCCTCACGAACTCCGTGACCAAACGAAACCAAAACAGAATGATTTGCTGCTATGTCTTCTTGTTGCACGTAACTTTCGCGTGAAAAGTAAACCCCCGAAGGAAGAATGGAAAAAAAAGGGCAAACAAAATAAACGGGAGTACATTTGTCTTTTTTTTATTTTCGCAAAATCTTTCTAACTCAAAAATGGGAAAACGAAAATAAGAAAATAAAGGACGGTGGGGGGGGGGGAGGAGGAAAAGAAAAAGACAAAACGCAAAAATAGAAATTGGTAAAAATGTTGTATTCGCATCACGTGAACGTATTGTAGAAAAGTGATTTTGATCAAGTGAATGGACTTAATCTTTCTCTCTCTCTCTCTCTCTCTCTCTTTCTTTATTTCTTGCAAAGTTTTTTATATTACAAATTTTTTCGAACGTCACTCAAATGGAGAAACTAATGTAGCGAAAAATTTCTCTCACCCGTCGGCATCCAACCGAACGTTGAAACTTTCTTGGCAGCAGCTTGTTTTCCCCTATTTTGTACTTAATTCTTTACTTTTCGTTCGAATTTTTTGTTCTCGTTTGTTTATTTTACTTTTTCCAAACGAAGTATTATCTATCGAAGGATACGTTACATTTAGAAATTTTTCTCGTCGTAGTAGTAGTAGTAGTAGTAGTAGTAGTAGTAATAGTATTCGATTATAACATAAATAAAAGAGGAAAAAATAGATAATTATTTGATTTAAACATATTTCTCGAATATCTTTACTTACGTAATACTATTGACGTTAGTATAATATATACCTATTTTGAAATTCATTGAAAGATAATCCTTAAAGCTTTCTACCTACACGAATCCATAAAATTTCGAACGTTACAAAGCATCTAACGTTTTGTATCATGTATATACGTGCATGTGTATATACATATACTTGACAGTATATGTGTATAATACGATTAAACTAAGCGAGCTAATCCAACGTAACTGTCGTTTCTAGTTGGCAAAATGGACATTTAGAAAAAACGTCTAAATTCGTACGAAACTTTTCTAATCCAAATTTTGTGTCATTGGCAGGGTATGTGCATGTACATCCTATGAATATACATAGAATACATGTATACATGGGTATATACACGTACATGGCTACTTTAGATAACTATCCAACTACGTTAAAGTATTTACGTAAGTTTGTACATATATATATATCAAACTCGTTTATGTGTATGTGTTAGGGGTTTAATCGTATATACGGTTTTCAGACAGTATGAAGAATTTTCGAGAAAAACATAAAGCTTAATTCGCTACGACTGATACGTTTTAGCCTCATTGTTTCATGTCAGATTTGATATAGTCAGTGATACCTTATGGGATTACGCGTAGAACTTAGAAATTCAATCTATAATAAAATAATATTAAAAATATTTCAATAAATTCAATATAGAATTGAATAATTTTTTTTCAATTCTAAATTTTTTTCATTACGTATGAGTGAATTATATGAATAGGATATTTTTTTTTCATTTGATTTCTTTTTTTTTTTCATGTCTTCATTTCTCATCTCTTCTATAACTTGTTAAAGTTAATTGGAAATAAAAGAATTCGTAGGTAAAAGAAAAGAACATTTTTGTTTTTGTTCAAACATTCGAACAAATTTCCCAAAAGGCACGGGAAACACGGACCTGGACGGACCCCTGGTATTACCGAATTTAAAATTTTTACAAGTCGCAGGAATACTTGTCGCATCCTATTGAGAAAAGGGAAAAACGTGTTCTTATATATATTGCACGTGAAATAGATAAAAGAGGATAGAAGGGCACAGGTGCAAAGGATAAAGTGACTATGTTACGTGGAAGACGTGTATATAGATGTGTGTATGTGTATACTTGATGGCAGTAGTTTAGAATGTACATTACGAGTATCGTGGCGAACCAATGGAAATCCTCGAACGTAAGCAGATTTATTATATCTGACTCTCGTGTTCCATTTTTTGACCTATCTCTCTCTTTATCTATCTTTCTTTCCATTTTTCTTTATTTTTTTTTATCCTTATATATACATATATATATATATATATCCGATCTTTTTCTACTTAACTTCGAAAATTATTACTCAAGCCATACTAATAAATATCGAAAGTCTTTTAAAGGTATTACACCATCACTTCGATGCTCGAAAGGAAAAACTAGCATGAAAAGAAAATTGTTATTTAACGCAACTTTCAAGTAGCATAATTTCGTTCGTAGAGTGGAGATATATGACGTTACTCGAAATATTGTCGTCGAACTAAAATATTCTTTTTATTTTAATTTTTCTTTTTTTTTCCAAATGCCAAACTGTCGTAACTCCTTAATTAATTTACAACATTTCTTACTTTATTTTACTATAATCGTGTTAAATTTAATATGAAATTTATTAGTTATGAAAACAACGAGAGTACTAATAACCATCGATACATTTTTAAATTAAATTAACAACATTTTTGTATATTATTTTATTCGTCGAATTTTATATGAAATTTTCAGTCGACTAAAAAACAACGAAATAATATTAAATCTTTATTATTCTAATTGGTAGAAAAATTAACGTGTTATGAAAATAACAAATATTAACTAAATATTAATATAATTTTAAATTAAATTAATAACATATTATTTCCTAGACTTTGTATGATACTAACAATAACAATCCAAATAAAATACTTGAAATTGCAAAAAGTCCTAATTATCGAACCGGATAAATCTTTCGTAATTCCTCAAGATATCAAATCCAAAACGATGATATCTTTGCTACATCAGCAAGATCTAGATCAGCAAGATGGAATTATGTTTTTTTTTTTTTGAAGCTTCCTCCTTCTCTCCAAACATTTTCTCATACTAAGGATAGAATTTTTTTGCGATTAGCTCGTAAATTTTCCAAAGCGGTTGCTTGAATACGTTTTCTTTCTTTCTTTATTGGTATCATACGTTCGAAATGGTCGATATTACTCGAACATCGACGAATGGTTATCATTGATTTCTGATCGTGTTCTGCCCGCATATAATCCTTCCCCCATCACATTCCAACTACTCTCTTTACAAGGATTTCCACAAAAAGTAAATATCAAGAGTAAGAGAGAGAGAGAGAGAGAGAGAGAGAGAAAGGGAACGATAGAAAATGAAAAAATTAAATGCATTAAAAGCTTTGATCCAAATTTTTTTTTCTTCAAGCTTTTAACGATCGTACGATCTTAAAAAAAAAAGAAACAAATTTGAACAAATTCAGAAGCACCATTGGCAAAAAGATTTTCTTCTCTTTGGGGTAGTTACCTTGGTAAAAGGATTGTGAGAGAAAGATTTTAGCGTGCATGTGTGTAAGTACTATATTAAAATGTATGTATCAACAACATTTTCCGGATAGACCGTAACGTAAAAAGCTACGTTTGTGTAAGTACTTTTACTTACTTACAAACGTTTCAAAAAATATTTTCTTTTAAGTATGAACCTTAGCTTGCACGTTCGTGTTTCGCGAAAATAATAAGACGATTTTATATTTTTTCCAGTCGGTTGGTTACTAACTTCCTTCCATCACATATCTTTTTATAATCTCAATTTTCTTTTCTTTCTCCGAAAGGTTAATTTTCTTACAGAAATAACTTTTTTTTTTTGTTTTTTTCTCAAAGAATTACTTCAACATTCCGAAGTTTATGTTTTCTTGTTTTTTTTTCCCCGATTTTATATTTGTTTAATAACATTATAAAAGAGTATTATTTCGGAAAGAATAATAATTTGATAACTTTTAAAATCAAAGCTTTGCTTTAGATAACACAAGAATTTATATGCATCCGTTTATCTATGCATTATATATATATGTATATATATGCGTTAGATATGGAGAATATTTTCATAAGCAAACAATTTAGTTATGTCAATATAACAAGTGGAGTATGGAATATCCGATGGAAGATATTCGAATAATAACTAACCACGCATCCAATCGGAATAACAGAAATAATATCATTTCACCAAATGACTTTCCGAATTTCAAAATTCATGATTTGCATTTCAAAGTTCGCTGAATGAATAATTTCAAACAATTTATGATTCTCTTCTTCCCGTTGATGGTTTCAAAGGATAGGAATATATCCTAAACGTAGTAATATTTTAACGACCATTTAGGATTATCCCCCTGCAGGTTTATTTCTATAAGAAAATTTGTCATCTTGCTTAAGGTCTCCTCGTCCCTTTCTTGTCCTATAATATACGCTTTTTAATGACAAGTAAAAGGGCCAAAGTTTCAGAAAGACAAATTTACAAGAAACTGCGTTATCTTGATCATGGTAAGAAGTTATTACCCATTCTCTTCAATCTTGATTACCATGCTTGTTCAGTTCTTCCTCCTATCTACATCCTTTTCCTCTTCTCTTTATATTAATATCTGCGATAAATTAAATTTAACTACCTATCTTACATTCTACTAAACCACACGATAAAATTACCTCTTTGCTAAATTCTAGTTACATTAAATCGAAACGACGAAGGATACGAGAACGATTGAAATTAAAATTATTTCTAATTTTATTACACTTACTTCACTTCCTATTCATTATTATTTAACATTCCTCGTATATTACTAATCATAAAAGAATATTATATGCATTATGTTACACATACAATCTTTTTCAAATATTTCAAACAATTCGCAATAATTTTGATAATCAACAAAATGATTAAAACCACATTAATTATATATTATATAAAAATTATTATATATTATAAAAATATTGTTCAGAAATTCTTGATATAATTAATAT